CATTTTCATTCATTCATTCATTCATTCATTCATTCATTCATTCATTCATTCATTCATTCATTCATTCATTCATTCATTCATTCAGTCAGTCAGTCAGTCATCCATCCATTCATTCATTCATTTGTTTAGTCATTCATTCATTTATTCAATCAATCAATGATTTTTTTATCATCCATTTGCTAGCCTTTTTTGTTTGTCAATTAGCTTGTTGTTTTCCGTTTGCCCATTCATTCATGAATTCAGTCAGCCATTCAATAAATCAACTATTGATAACTTCTCTGTCTGATGTCTCCCACAGTTATATCTGTTTATTTGCATTTTTATCCTTATGTTTATTTACTACAGGGCTCTGTGGTCAAAGTTGTCAAATTGCTGTACCATTTACACATTTCAACTTCTTGAATTTCCCGAGAAATAAAAAAGAGCATTTTAAATCACCTGAGTAAGATCCCTCTTCATAACTATATCTACGAGTATGTTGACTATAGAGCGTATGTTATTGTAAATTCAACATTGGCCGCAAGACCTTTGTGATACACAGAATGCAAAAAAAAAATGTCAGTGCAGCAATACCCATAGGCATAGACACAGACCCAGCAGATGAAAAAAAATGATGAAACCCTAACATGAATCATATGAACCCAGCAGATAACGATGCCGTAGGCCAGGGCATAGAGTCACGAAAAGCAATGAAGTTTTCAGTAACCTTACTTGTGTCAGCAATGGGGTCTGGTAGGTGGGGTAATGGCCCTGCCTGGAACCAGGGTTGTATACCAATCAAGTCGATTGAATTGATTGATTTGATTCAACGCGTATTTTGAGTTGATTGGATTGAGTCGATTGACTTTTCGAGATGACTGGTTGACTGACTCGTTTGACTTTAGCGACTGGTTGACTGATTTGATTCCCGAAAATTACAGTGACTCGTATGATTGAGTCGATTGAATGGAAAGTTCAAATACGTTTTAGTTGACGAACAATAATGACACCAATTGATGACATCAAAGATCACAAAACTGCACCGAAAACTGCTTGTCATCACAACTGCAATATGGGGTAGATGGCCAAATAAAGAACAGGGCCTAAACATGAACAGCCAACTTTGACTTTCAACTGCAATAACTGCTCCAATCCTGGTGGTAGAACCTGGCGATGCACCTACCTACCTTTCTGCACTCAGCAGGAAACGTTTTTTTTTTAATCCAGATGATAAAGTGCAAGGCCCTATATAGGTACTAATAAAGTGTGATTAATTAATAATTCACATCTCCACATCTCCTCAGAAACAACCCACTAAACTCTATGAATATCTGAAACCCCTACAAAAATAACTGAAACAAAAGCGCCGTTTTCGTCTTGCTAAATTTGCTGCATTGTTTAATTTGCAGCAGAACGTTTGTTGATCCTTTTCTCCTGAGAGCCTAAGCATAACATATTTAATATATTTCATTTTCCTTAAAATATTTTACCGAATATTATTAAGTGGTTTTATTTCAAATGAAATAATAATTAAAACGAAATTGGTGTTGTACAACCGATTTATTTTATGATGATCTAGGTACCATACTACATGATTATCAATGACGTCACCTTACCAAAAAATCAAAAGACGTAGAATAAGGATTTATAAAAGCTTAGCATACTTGTTGGCAAAACGTTTTCTTTGTTTTTTTTTTTCGCAGTCGCACCTTGCCGTTTTCGCGTTTTAATTTTCCTTGTTCCTACTTCCTTTGTCCTTAACTTATCCTGTGGTTCCAGAGTCCCTGTCCTCTCCATTTCCTTTTAAATATATTTTTAATCCTCATCCCTATCCCCCAGTCCTAACAGTTTCAAATTGTATTGCAATAAAATGTTTTGAATTCTTCACATAACCTATCTACCTTCGTTGGTACTGTTGGTAGCCAGTGACACATCTAGGCAGGTAAGTAGGTACCTACCTGCTTTCCTGCTGTCTTCATAAAGCATACCTAATGAAGTTGTCAAATTTGTAGCACATTTTCAACACTTTCATATGGTGTCAGTGTGGCATGAAACCTAGCTAGGTTCCTTATGTTTAGGTTTCATTTCAGAAGAGCTCAGCATAACTCACATAAGAGACAGACAGGGGCTTTACATGGGGTAGATGGCCTGAATGACTTAGCTGGAATATGAGCAAAATTAAATTGACAACTTTTAGGTGAAAGGTGGTGATTTGGGTTAAGGGGCGAGTCAACTACTGGGTTATTTTGCACCCATTAAATGAAACGTCTGCTCCAATTCTACCCATTGAACCTCAATATCATGATCCACCTGTCCATCACTAGGTATCCTTCCTTATTACATAGAATCTTTGAATGGCACGGCAATTTATAATTTTAAATGACAATATTTTTATGTTTCTTCTGTAGGTAGGTAGGTAGGTAGGTAGGTAGGTACACCAGACTGCTATGGACACTTTTCTGGTGGGGCAAAAAACCTAATGTGTGTCTTGGTTTGAGTCGTTTGATTGAGTTGATTGATTCCTTTCATTGTCGCGTTTGAGTCGATTGAATCAATTCCCGAAAACTGCTCTGACTTGATTGATTTGATTGGTTTCCCAAATTTGTCGCGATTGAATTGATTGCTATTGATTGAGTCGTATACAACCCTGCCTGGAACCCAACAAAGGGGTAAGGACCTGCCCCGGATGACCTGCCGATCGCTGCACTAAACGAACATTATATTCGTAAAAGAAATCGTTATTAACCGGTACGCTTATGGGTGGCACACAGCTAACTGCGGGTGGTTGGTGCTACAATGCCGCCAGCTTTGAAAATAAAGAGAAAAAGTCTTCAGATTTTTAGATTCCACCATGTAATGTTGAAGCGGTCATAGAGGCTCCTACATATGGCACATTGACACAGAGGCACATTGTAAGTAGGTACATACATATATGACACATTGGGCGCTTGTCTGGCATCGAAAGTGTCTCTAGATTTATCTAGCTAATGATAATGATGAGATGATAATGATGACTGAAAGAGGAATGGGCTTATAGAGAAATTATTCAAGCATACATGACGGTATACCTATGTATAGGTATGTTGACAGTTAGGAATACTGGCTGGCAGACGGACGGAACTTTGGAGGACCAGCATTTGAAAATTAGGCAATTCGGGGACGATTGACTTCGGATTGGAACCTCTGCTACACTATTCTAATCGTTACACTAAAGAGGTAACTCCAAGATTTTGGGAAACCCCCGATATTATCTTCAAACAAATGCAGGGGGCGCTTTTACATCTAGAGAACGGCTGGGCCGATTGAGACGAAATTTATAACTTAGTACACCGTTCGTGACCAGTCGGAGATCTGCCCGGCACAAGTCAGCTGGGGTCTCATTTTGCACGTGCATACGTTCAGTGGCAGCTCCTCCATAGGCGCGGGAGCCGGGGGGGGGCAGTGGGGGCAGCTTGCCCCCCCCCCCAACTCCAGGGCCGTGGGGGTGGTGCCCCCACAACTTTGAGACGAAATACCGCACTTTTTTGGCAAATGTTTGTTCTTTTTTGTTTGAAAAGCCAAGGGATGAAAAATAAGTGGCCTAAAACCGGTGAGAAAACTAGATTTGGGGGTACCCTATGTTGATCTCCATTATGGTGTGCCCCCCACCCCCCCCCCCCCCCCCCCCCCAGTCTGAAAGTAGTTCCCGCGCCTATGAGCTCCTCTCCTTCATTTCAAGAACGGCTGAGCTACAAGGACGGCTGTAGCTGAGCTCAATGAAATTTGGTCGGATTGGCAAGGAGCGGAACTGCACAAGTCAATTAGATCTTTTTGCAGGCGCGCAAGTGAGGAACCGCTTTTGTTCTGCATCTCAAGAACGACTGGGCCGATTGAGATAAAAGTAAGTGCACCGTTGAGTGTTGTGAACCGACGAGATGGATGAGTCTAACTCCGACTCCGACTCCGACTCCAACCCCACAGCCCTCATTGTTTCAAATCCAACAGCTAAAAAATGTGCAGGTAAGCACGAGCAATGACGCGTTGTCTACCTAGATGCCTACTAGTTTTGCAAGTTGCTTTTAGATTCCCAAGCAGGGACAGATTCAACCACTCACAACATAAGCAAAAAATGGTCACACTTTGAGCAGCATTCAGGTTGCGAGAGCCATTACTTTGTAATGAAAATGTAGAATCCTCCCATCAACGCTGAGCGCGGTTTGACACATGATATTAGGCCGGGCAGCGGAACGGAGCATCGCTGGCGACTATATTGTAGATGCGCACCATACACTCCGCCCGTGTCCGCGCCCGCCGCTGCAGGTTTTCCACGCACCATTAGGTGCACATGACGCCTCAATGGCACACACAGACACCGCCGCTGCAAATTGCCGGCCCGTTCCATTTCCGAATAGACACCGGCTACCGACTGCCTGCAAATCTTCTCCTACATATGTATCGCCTCCCTTAGAATGGTCCCCATGCACCTGACACAGCGGCCACCCATTTATTACAGACCCGGCTAATTGTTGCCGGTTTCGATTCACTCCGTGGACGCGCGGTGTGGCGGAAAGGTCGGTCGGCCGGCACGGACATTCAGTGGTACGGTTCGCCGCTCGCCCGTCCATCTTTCTGCTGGTGCGGTGCGGCCCGGTGCCAGGCGCGCCGCATCGTTGGCAAGATAAATCGTCCGATTCGGTGGCGGCAAAGGTAACCAAGCCGCGAATTATTGTCATTACTACAGTGTGATAGCCATTCCTGAACGTTAATGATAGCGACTCAAATTAATATTTCACGTCACCGGTCGTAGCCCAGCGCTATAGCTTCTGTGGTCGCTCACGGCCGCATTTCCTCCCCCAATCCTGTAAGTCACCGCAGATAATGCCCGGCAATTTGCCTGTCATTACCACTGGCTCCGCCCACCGGGCCTCGCTAGGACCAATCAGAACCGTCCAACCGGCGGCCGGCGGCGAGGGCGGAGCCGGGGCCGCGCGGCAGGCGGAGCCAGGCCGGGCCCGTGCCGAGACCGCCTCAGTCGCGCCAGTTTTGTGGCGCATTAGAGCGCGAAAGGCGCGGCGATTCGGCGCTCCCGCGTGCGATATCGGATTGTGACGCCCACAGTGAGCCCGGCCGAGGCAGGTGACCTTGATGACCTTCAACCACCCTGCCATGATGCAGTCCTGCTTTGTCGGATACCCTTTCCAAGGTAGGTGAAAGTTCATAGGTGCATGGGGCCGACGAATAACGTCAAGCGGATCATCTGAATAATGATATCTAAATACTCTGAAATCAGTTACCCAAGTCCGGATTTCCAGGTGTGGTGGGCGCTCGATTTTTATGAGGCTCCGAACGGGTATGCTGTGGTTGCGGTTGGTCGCAGGCCGTAACCAACCGAATTTAATGAAAAGAAACGAGTAGGTACGTACCTATCTCAAGAAACATGCAAGTTCTCAAATGCAATAGGAGGCTGAGACTCTCTTTTCTGGCAGAGCGTATTTGCAAGTACCTACTTGTACTTAGCTTGCTATTGCTATTGCAAGCAAAGCAAGTACCTACTAGTGGTGTCAATCGGTTACCGAAAATTTCGGTTACCGAAAAGATATGCTGACCGATTTGGTAATCGGTCGGTCAGGCCCCCCAAAAATCGGACACTTTCGGTCACCCTGCCAGTGAAACCATTTTCAAAAAGAGAAAGTATTCCATTTTTGCCTAGTTAAAATGAAATTTATTGGGATGTTAATGATAGAGTTGCAAAATTTCCCCCAAATGCCAAATGCCACATTTTGGCAACTTCATTAGCCAACCCACACAGCAGGCAGCAGCCACCCATTGTCCAACCACAACTACAAGCAGGCTGATATTGACTCAGTTGGCCCCACAAGTACACACAATTTTGAAACTCGTCTATTTCATTCTAACTGTTAAAATTTCACCTGTAATCAAAGAAGTATTGGCTACAAAAATCATTATACACTCATCAAAAATGCAAGGACAAAAATAACTTGAATTACTGAAATGTGTTTCTAAAGACTGGACAGTTAGCACTTGCCACTTAGCACTTAGCAGTGATCACATTTACATTTCACAGGTGTTCTACTATCCCACATTCTCCTTGATTGATTCTTGACAATTCTAATCAACTAAATCTCTGAAATGCTGAGGTCCATGTGTTGCTACCCTCAGCAAGGTAACTTCTACCACAACATGTATTTTGCAGTGGCTAAGAATTGACTGAACTTGGACTGAAATGCCATTTCCCATTATTTTCCATCAGAATTTACCAAATATTTTAATTTTGGGGTAGAGTAATAGCAAATAGAAGTTCGGTCAAATTTCGGTCAAATTTTGGCTTGGGATGTTATCGGTCGGTATTTGGTCGGAAATTTTTCCCAAATTTTGGTTTCGGTCGGTATCGGTCAGACATTTTTTGGAAAATGACATCACTAGTACCTACCTACTCTCTTGGTATTTGTAATACGGTGGTGCTTCAAAGTTCCATACAAAAAGGCTGTTATGAATCAGGAATTGCGTGATTGGAGGGCTCAGGGCAAAGGGGGCACGGCCAACGCAGCAAGCTCTGCTTAGCGGGGCTTCTATCCTTGTGAATCCTTCAATTCAAAAGGTTTGTACTGAATTCATAAAAAGTGCCAGGGCTATTTAGTATTTACCGAAGGCTGATACACACAAAAGGTAGGTAGGTAAGCTGGAATATCAGTCCTACAGATGAAAAGGAAGAAGACTGCAGTCAGCTTGCGAATTCAGATTGCGTGTAAATTTATTTTGATACTTTCCGAAAAGTTATAGTTAATGCTTTTTATATAAATTTTAAAGCTTTTAGTACAAACCATTTAAATTTAGGGCTTCACAAGGAAAGAACCCTAGCTAACCAGAGCTTCTTGCATTGGCCCTGCGGCCTGCCCTCTGTCCTTCAATCGCGGAATTCCTGATTTATGACGGCCTTTTTGTTTTGAAGCACCGTATTACAAGTACCAAAAGCATAGGCGCGGGTACCGGGGGGATTGGGGGCATTTTGCCCCCCCCCCCCACTGTGGTGCCGTGGGGCTGTGCCCCACAACTTTGAGACGAAAAATTGCACTTCTTTGCAAATGTTTTCTTTTTCTTGTTGAAAAAGCCAAGGGATGAAATATAAGTGGCCTGAAACCGGTGAGAAAACTAGATTTGGGGGTACCCTAGGTTGATCTCTATCATGGTGTGCCCCCCCCCCCCCCAGTCTGAGAGTAGTTCCCACGCCCCTGACCAAAAGAGTAGGAAGGCACGCTCTTCTAGAAAAGAGTCTCAGCCTCCTATTGCATTTCAGTTAGTCGCATGTTTCTTCAATATTCATGTCTAAATATACAGTCATGAGCATTGAACAATCATTCTAGCACTTGAGTGGTGGATGGATATGAATCTATAATATTATATTTAGATCCATAGTATTCATGATACACATATATCATTTAGCCCATGATTTAGTGACAGTACTTTGTTCCCGTAATCAACATATTCAGCTTCCCTCTCGTATTTAATCTCCATTAATGTGTGTTGCCACAACTTCAGATCTTTCCTAGTCGAAAAAATCCCTCAAATTCAATCAATATGAGTTTAGTATTTTCTACACAAATGCAAATGCTATTTATTTTACAGACAACCGCAAAAATAGAACAAAGGTTCTCGAAAATGAATCGACGGTATAAATAAACGGAGGGAGCCCAATCTGGACCTGATTGGTCATTGGGAAGCTCATGTAGGGAGGTGTTGTAAACACGTGTGGAAGCCAGAAGGTTAATGTTTTATCTTTCTTTTTATTATTGTCTGCATGCAATTGGCAAAAATTTGATTTATTTTTTAATGTGACTTAAAGATATAGGTTATGAAGCCATTCATAAAGTTATGCTCAGCAGATATAAATGGATAGGGATAATGGCTGCATTTACTTTCAAAATATCATGAACAGAGGATCACCGATCACCTGATGGTCAATGTGCTGATTACTACGAATGTTAGGCTTGTCCGAAGGAGCTGAGAGTGTGCATTTATGTTCCCATCCCCCTTTGTGCCTTATTACGTACCAATTTGCATCTTTCGCTTTGGCTGATTATTTACCAAGAATACATTTCAGTTTGGAGTCTAATTTGCAGATAGGACGCTATTACCGGCTGACTGAATTAGGCATGCCCTATTCACCATTGCATGTTGTCAATTGGGGTTATGCTCAAAATATTCAGTCCCTGCATTTATCCAGCCAACGAAACACCAACATCGAATGATCAGAAAATAGGCGTCGGCAAACAATCTTCGCTAGCTCAATACCAATTACCACCATCGCAGTTAATTACAAAATGACCTCTCAGGTGTAAGCATCAAAACGTACTGACAGTTTAACACCGGTGCACATAATTTAGTGACGCTGACCTCGGTCGGCGCCTCCAATCCGACCCTGGGCCGCCTATCACTGTCATCAGGTACCGGAGCGTGCCTACAATAGTCGTTAACCTGTCCGGAGTGACGACTGCTCAGCGACTCCTGTGTCGGCTGATCCTTCCGTCCGCCCTCCTTGGCCCTCCGCCCGCCCCTGTTCGGCCCGGGACAGTCTGTTACTCGTTTATTGACGATTGGGTACCAAAGGGCGGAGGGCAGGGGTGGGTGACGGAGCCCTGTTTTTGTGTATGCCGCGGTGGCCATCATTTAATTACTGGCCCCTGCCGACTGCCGTTTTTGTGGGCCGGGTGATGTCGAATGGCCGGCTAAAGGGGGCAACGTATAACGTATTGCTCGTAAGCATAGGCAAGGAGCAAGGAAAGCGCTTTTAGAGTAAAGTGAAATTGTTTCAGTGTTGATAAAACAAATAACACTACCTACACAAGAACACATCACTCCCACTGCATTGTACTATAATGCGCTCTGCACAATGGCATCCACACTCCCACAGTCGACACTTCACACTCCTCACGTGCCGTCGACATCGGAGCCCCTGAAGTCATGACCCACCCCCCCCCCCTCCCCCTCTGAGTCAGCGGATCATCCGCAGACCAATCAGCGATCTGAGCTGGCCGGATCAGATGGCCAAACCCGCCCAGGTGGCTAGAGTTCGGCATAGCCGGCCGTGAAATATCAGACGGGCAAGCAACACAGTAGCTGTGCATAGTCTCACCATGGATGATATAACTGCATAGAACAACACCTAACAGCACAGTCGATTGATGCACAACTGCCGGGCCGGGCACCTTTCACCGTTTATAAAATAGAATATCAGAAACATTCATCAATTCGTACTGCGCTGTCATTCAGCGTTAGGTAGCGATACCTACCTAAATCGCATCAATCTTGCGTGGATATTTTTAGGCTTGATGACCGCACAAAAATGAAATTGCACAGATGCTCTATTTATCATTCAATCAGTGTTGCGACCAGGGGTAGGTACGGAGCCGGAGCCGGAGCCGCCGGTGCCGGCCCCACATTTTTGCCCGGAGCCGGAGCCGGAAACGGAGCCGCCATGACCTTTCACCCGGAGCCAGAGCCGGAGCCGGAGCCGATTTTATTACTCCGAAGCCGGAGCCGGAGCCGAAGCTGTCTGAAATTTCCACTGCTCCGCATCCCTGGTTTTGACAGTGTTGTGATCGGTCATGATGGTTCACTCAGCGTGTGACCAGCAACACCCATGTCCCTGGGAGCGAGGTCGCCGGGGCGGGGTCGCCCGGGCGCAGAGGTGCCGCGGCGGGGTGACCGCCGACCGGGGCGGGGAGGTGCCGCGGCGCGCGCGAGGCCGTATCTGCCGCCGTCTGCCCGCCGGCACGTTTCAGCAGTTAGGGCGCACCTTTATTGAGTCTGGACGGGCGGCGAGGCGACTCCTCCAGAGCCGTGTGCCCCGGCACGGCGCGGCGGGCCGTCGGGGCCGAGGTGGGGAGGGGGGCAGGCAGGGGCGGAGTTGGGGTTCAGAAAGGTGGAGGAGGGATCCGGCAGGAGCGATAGATAAGGGGCTCGTCAGAGGAAAAGGCATGGGAAATCAAATACAATTCAACAAACAAATATAATTCCAATTCGATAAAATACAATTTTCAATAAATCAAATGTAATCTGTGTTAGCTAAGTTTTTATCCGTGACTCTGTCCATGCCCTGATGCTCTGGGTAAAAACATTTCAAAAACGTATGCAATAAATCTATTATTATCATTTAACCCTATTAGTGGCAGGCTCCTGGCTACC